GTCAGAATGGACTCCACGGCAGTGTCTTTTTTGTTGTTGTGTTGACCGACAATTGAAGGCAGAGGTGTAAAGTGGCAGCGTTCTCCCCTTCCATGCAGGACACCTGGGTTTGATCCCCAGCCAGAGCTCCTCATGTCTATCAGTGGAGGCTTGTCTGTTGCTATGGTGCTCAACTAGGAGCCCTGATTGCCCAATGGTTAACCACTGGGCTACTAACTGGAAGGTCGGTGGTTCTAAACCAACCAGCAGCTCCATGGGAGAAAGACTTGGCAATCTCCCTCCATACAGATTGTTGTTATTAAGTGCATTCAATCCCGTTCTAACTCGTAATACGACAGAGTAAAACACTGCCACTGTGGCTATCCGTCTCATCTAGGGTCTTCTTCTTTTCGCTGACCCCCTACATTACCAAGCTTGGTGTCCTTATCTCTCCCGATAAGGTGTCAGAAGTTTGTGAGACAGAGTGTCACCATTCTTGTTTCAAGGAGCGTGCTGGCTGGACTTTGTCCTGTAGGTACATCCTTTGGGTGCTCTTAGGACCCATCAAGGTGGTCCTGACTCTCGGCGACCCCCTGTGCAGCAGGACGAAACCCTGCCCGGCCCTACGCCAGCCTCACAATCCTTGGTATGCTAGAGCCCATCGCTGCAGCCCCTGTGCCATTAAAAGACGAGCTAGGGAGGCCTCTGCAGCAGTTAGGAGAACGGCTAACACAGAAGTGACTTGATGCCACTCAACAGTGACAACCACAGGGTGCAGAACAGCTTTCAGGGGGAGCGTCCCGACTCAGATAGACCAGGAAGAAAGGGCTGCCAGCCTCCTGCAAAATCAGGAGATGCAACCCGCCCACATCACGGCCACCGTGTCCGCAAGCACCACAGGGACAGGGCAGGACCAGGCATGGTGCCGTCGCCTCGTGCGTGGGGTCACTATGAGTCAGGGGCTGGCTCCATAGCAGCGAACGATAATTGATTTCCGAGGCAGCCCTGGGGGCACTCTAACCACCAGCCTTTTGGTCCACCGCCAAGCACGTGAACCATTTGCACCTCGAAAGAACGTTGCAACACTCTGCTTCCAAAACCTTAGACGTTTTGGTCAACCACCATTCTATTCAGAGTCCCATGGGGATGGTACAAGTCGGATTCGACTTGATGGCAACATTTTCTTTTAAGAAAATCTATAAATTGCCCTTCTCTTTTTTTCACATGCAAAGCGAGCTGAGTGGCATGACTTTCCTGCGCTCAGCTCTGGTTTCTGTTCTTGGCCGTGGCGCTCCTGCACCGTCAGCCTGTTTCTTTGCTTCCCCGTGTTTGTAGGTCTTCAAGCTCAGTTACAACAAGGTGCGTGGGATCACACGACACACGTTCCAGGGGCTCTCGAGTTTGGTGAGGCTGCACGTGGACCACAACCGGATCGAGTTCTTGCACCCTCAGGCTCTGCACGGCCTGACGTCCCTGCGCCTGGTCCACCTGGAAGGGAACCTGCTCCATCAGCTGCATGCTGGTACCTTCTCCACGTTCTCCTTCCTGGGCTTCTTCCGCCTGTCCACCGTGAGACACCTGTACTTAGCGGACAACAGGATGCGCTCTCTTCCCACCGGGATGCTGCAGAACATGCCGCTGCTAGAGAACGTGTACCTGCAGGGGAACCCCTGGGACTGCGGCTGCGACATGCAGTGGTTGCTGAGCTGGGAAGCGAGGTCCAGAGGTGAGCCCCGTGGGGGAGTGGGCGTGGCCGCTGACTGCACGTCTCTCTGAAACGTGGGAGGCCCAGGTTGTCCAAATGGTCAACCAGAAGGTTAGGGGCTCCATTGGACCCAGAGACACCTCAAACGAAAGGCCTGGGAATGGACTCCCCAAACCTTGTGGTGTCCGGTGACCAATGCCAACCACTCAGAAAGGGATCAAAACTGCCAGGGGGACAGGAAAAATGTGGCACAAAATTCAACAACACAAAAATGACCAGAATTAGTGGTCGGATAGAGGCTGGTGAAAGCCCCGAGACTGGCCCCGACTTATTCTACGGGCCTAGAATTGGACTCATGCCCATGGCTTGGCTCTCAGGCCAACAGAAGAGGGACGTGCATGTGGAACACGTACCCCAGAGTGATGCACCCACCTGCTCCCCTGAGAGGAGTTGGCCGTGGGGCGCCAGGCGGGCAGCGTTGACAGGCAGGAGTGCGGAGATAAGAAGGGCACAGAGCGGGGTGCTCACAGGGAGGCGAGGGGAGTTTGTCATGGTCGGGGATGCTGATCGGGGCGTGAAGTCAAATGTTCACCAACTGATGAATGCAGAACAAATTTGCTTTGGAAATTTGCACCCAAAGCCCAATGAAATGACAGCAGCGGCTTTGGCTTTGGTTACAGAGGGCAAAGTTTTCTCAGGGGTTACCAGGGGCAGGCAGGAGAGAGGTGCTAAGGGGAGGTCCATGCTTAGTGGGCACTGAGGTTCTGCCGAGGGTGATGGGAAATGTGGAAGTGGATGGTGGCCATGGTTGTAAAACATGGTGAACATAATGGACGTCACGGTGTTGCACGGGTGAGAAGGTGGAAATGGACAACGTTTTGTTATATATGAGTGTACCCCGGTTGAAAGAGTCCTGGGGCGGTCCAAATGGTAAGCTAAAGTGTGTGTGTGTGTGTGTCTGTATATATATGTTTATGCTGTGTGCTTGAGTGTATCTGTGTGTGTATAAGTGTATGTCTGTATGTTGATGTCTCTATATATGTTGATAAGTGTGTGTGTCCTTTGTGTGAACTAAAAAACAAAACAAAACTCACTGCCGTCATGTCGCCCCGACTCACAGCAACCCCTCCTTGGGTTTCTGAGGCGGTATCACTATGGAAGCAGATTGCCCAACCTTCCTTCTGAGGAGTGGCTGGTGGGTTTGAACCGCCAGCCTTCTGGTTAGCAGTCAAGTGCCTTAGGCACTACACCCAGAGCATGTGGGTGTGTTGGTGTGCATTTTGGGTGTAAATATGTATAGTGTATGTGTGTGTATGTGTGTGTGTGTCTGTGTCTGGATGTATATATGTGTATGTCTGTGTTTGTTGGACTGTGTACAAAGACGCTCTGGTGGTGCAGTGGTTAAAGCACTTGGCTGCTAACCAAAATGTTGGTGGTTCAAACCCCACCAGCGGCTCCGTGGGAGGAAAATGAGGCACTCAGCTTCCATCAAGATTGTAGCCTTGAAAAATCTCGGGGGAATTTTCTTCTATCCCAAAGGGCTACTATGAGTCAGAATTGACTCCACAGCAGTGCTCTTTTACATGTTGTTGTTGTTGTTATGTGCCATCGAGTCAATTTTGACTCATAGTGACCTTTCCTTGGGTTTCCAAGATGGTATTACTACAGAAGCCCAACCTTCCTTCCAAGGAGTGGTTGGTAGGTTTGAACCGCCAGCCTTCTGGTCAGCAGTCAAGTGCCTTAAGAACTGTGCTACCACAGCTCCTATCTTCACAGAAGCAAAGCCCAAACCACACCCACTGCCCTGGAGTAGATTCTGACTCACAGCGCCCCTAGAGGACAGAGTGGAACTGC